CTGTGTAACTTTTCTTTCATCTCGCCCCTCTTCTTCTTCTGTTTCTCTTATCTAATGCAAGCAAACAGAAACAGCTCAAGTCTTCATTTTTAGACACATTACAAGGAGAAAGCTGAACTTCCTAATTCCAGGAGGATCAAGCCTGAACCTCAAAAGAAGCAGCTTTTGGAATAGCTTTACTTTTCCTTTAAGGTTGAATGGCACCGGTTGGGGGAAAAAAGGGCGCCTTTGTCTTCCTCTCTCCACTCCTGATTTGGAGGTGGCTATCAAGCAGGGTGCACGCTGAACAAAAGCACCCGAGTGTAACAAGTCCTCCCGGTTTGTACCGCTGAAAGAAGGTTAAGTTTGGTTCCTTTTAATATCTGAGGTAAAGTTTGATACTTAAATAAAATCAACTCCATTAGGTCTCCGGAGCTTTTGTAATACTTGTTGCTTTTTGTTTTCTCATCATGTCTCTTTTTTATTTTTTTTGTGAAGAAGTTAGAACAAAAACATTGTTGTGTCAAGTCACAGTGTGTGACATAATACCCCAAAGCAGCTTCGAGTGCGGGTAAATATGCCATTTGGCAGTAGAAGCCAGAGTGCAAGTGGAGCATGTTGACGGGTTTATTTAAGAATTGCTTTTGTAATACTTGTTGCTTTTTGTTTTCTCATCATGTCTCTTTTTTTATTTTTTTTGTGAAGAAGTTAGAACAAAAACATTGTTGTGTCAAGTCACAGTGTGTGACATAATACCCCAAAGCAGCTTCGAGTGCGGGTAAATATGCCATTTGGCAGTAGAAGCCAGAGTGCAAGTGGAGCATGTTGACGGGTTTATTTAAGAATGAATTAAAAACGCAGCGCCGCGGCCCTAAAGGAGGCCACCACTGTTACTTCGTTGACCTCTTCTAAAAGGGTCCTCACTAGCCAACTATAAATAACTGCACATCATATCTAACTCTGATTGGAGGTCAGCACCGAGGTGGGGGTTTGATTGGTCGAGTGTGGCCAGCAGCAAGATCTGTTTCATAAAGTTGATGTGGACAGGCCAATAGGAAAGACAAATTTCATCTATTAGAGATTTCAAATGTTTCGCATAGAATGCAAAGACATTAAACAGACAACAATTGAAACTTTTTCTCAGAAAAAAGACTGGTTAAAGTCTCAGTAATCTCATGTGTTTTTGTGTTGTTTTATTCATATTTTTGGAATAGTTTTGAGTATTTTTATTGATTGTTTTAAGAAAAATACCCCAATAATCATTCATGGGAATTCTTGAGAAACTGTAAAGCAGCAGTGAGATCAAATTGTCATTTATATTTCCCCTACACCCCCCCCCCCAGCCCCCCCCCCCCCCTTCCACGACCCTGCTGAATTAAAAAATGCTCTGTTATTAAAGGCAATGTCAGGAGTGTTGATTTACGGGGGGGGAGGGCGATGACAAGTCAGAAGAACTCACACACTGTGCTGCTAAGGCCGCCAAGCTGGGCTCTGACCTCTTCACCCTCCCCTTCCCCTCTCTCTCTCTCGCGCTCTCGCTCTGGCTCGCCCGACCGCCCGCCCTGCGCTGCAATAAAACCTGTCTAACTCAACAGCACAATGGAACTCTTGTTGGACCCGGCCATCCGCGGCCTCCCTCATATTTTCTTTAAAGGTGCAGCACTCACCAGCGAATGCCACAAGGCTTTGGGGGAGAGAGATAAGATGAAAGTAGGTGAGCGAGAAGAAAGAAGCAACTCATGTTCACGTTTGAAATCTGGATGTGTTTTTCACTCCCTGCTTAGATGTATGGATGGAAGTTATAAAGCATTTTTTCCCCCTGTTTGTACTCCAAATCTTTTTTTTTAACTCCACTGTTCGTAAAAGCAATAAAATTGGCAAGTCAGACTCAATAGATTCTCCAGCCACAGAACGGAGCCTCTCCCCTGTTGCTCAGAGAGACTCGCCGCCCCAGACACTTTCATTCTGGGTCCGTTTAGTGCCGCCAGTCTCCGGTCCCGCTGCTGAGCTCAGTGCATCATGATTAAGACCAGCCGTACTGACCACTTGTTCATCACTAGGCATTGTGCCTTTCTCCTTAAAGTAATAGTTCACCCAAAAATTATGATTTTTTTCTCTCTCCCCTGTTTCATTCCAAACTCTTAATATTACTTTTTTGTGCAGCACAAAATGAGATTTTAGAATATCCAAGCAGCTCATTTCCATGCAATGAAAACAAGCTCCAAAAAGGCAAAAATAAAAAAAATAATTAATATGAAAATATTGTAAAAAGGTCCATACAATTTGTGTACTACATTCCAGGTCTTCTAATATTTCAAATCCCTGTCTTTTCCTCACATACTGTATTGTCTTTCCAAATTTCTTTTAAATTTTCTTTTCAGTGCAAAACAGACACCAAAAAGTGATTTATAATGGCAAAAATGAAAGAAAAAAAACATAATAAAAGTTCCTGAAAGTAATTTATAATGGCATAAATTACAAAAACATTAAAATATCATAAAAGCATGGCCTTTAATATACACTCTATGTATTATATTCCAAGTCTTCTAAAGCCGTTTGATAAATTTCCATTGCTTTTATGTTACTTGTATGTTTTTTCTTTATTTTTGTCATTATAAAACACTTTTATGGAAGTAAGAAAATAAGTCATGTGCTTTAATGGTGTTTTTTCATCGTATGGAAAAGAGCTACTTCAAAATTCAGCTCGGCGTCTTTTGTCTTTCACAAGAAAACAAATATAGGGTTGAAATTACATGAGGGTGAGTAAATGATGGTCCATGAAAGAAAGCATGAGACAAATCTAAGGTGGTTTTAGCTTAATAGTTAAGGCTGTACTGGAAACACAAATTTAGGGGTGGTCCTATTTAGGGGTGACCCAGTCACTGCCAAATTACTGATATCACAATCTATCACTATTGCACCCCTGAGCAAGGCACTTAACCTCTGGTAGTTCCAGAAGGGGCTGTGCATTAAATTAGTGCATTGTAAATTGCTTTGGATTAAATGTGTGCACTAAACAGCTACCATTTAATCCAAATAATTGTGGCATTTATGAAAATCAAAGAAGAGTTTATTAAAGTGGTAATCAGTGCGGCAGTTTTGTTCAATTGTTGATCATTGTTGCCAGACAACCATCTGGTCCAAGTTGTCTCTGGTTGTGTGTGTGTGCGTGTCTGTAAGAAGTAATTCACACCACATGCCATCAGTAGAGTGTATATTCTCAAAGCTAGTCGTAGCTGGGAGGTGCTGCCGGTCACTTTAGCTTATCCAGCCCTCCGCTGAGGTCATGTGCGCAGATGGAGGGGGGGTTGGGGGGTTCCTGCATGTGCGTGTGTTCACAGACGTGTGTGTGTGTGTAAGTGTGTGTGTGTGTGTGTGTGTACGGTGCTCAATTGTGACCTCAGCAAAGTAGCAAGTGCTCTTGATGCAGATGGTTTTCATCACACCACTGCATGTTCTCTCTCTCATGTGCCGATTGTATTGGGGGCCTCTCGCCTTTTTTGGCCTCCTCTCTCTCTAAACCCGCCACCACCCCCTCTACAATAAAAAAGACAGAGGTGTATCTCTCTTAAAAGGATTGGCACCATTTATTTAGAGGGTCCTGGACTGGGCTTTGTAATACACCCTCCCACACATGTAGCCAGTAAGTACTTCTGCAATTGATATAATGGCTATTAGCACTAACAGTCTTACTGATATCAGATCAGTGATAAGTGACCATGTTTTAAAGGGATAGTTCACCCAAAAATGAATATTCTGTCTTCATTTACTTAACTCATAAGACTTACCGTCTTCTGTAAAACTTTCTTATGAATATGCACACTGCTTTTCTCCTACAACAATAGCAGAAATTAGCAGAAAAACAATACCAGGCATTGTCAAGCTTCAAAAATAAAAAAAATTCTAAAATCTAATTTAGGTTTGACACAAAATACAACTAATTCTCACAATATTCATACACTGACACTCAAAAGTTTGGGGTCATTTTTTTTAATGTTGTTTTTTTATGCTTACAAAGTGATTTAAAAAAGCTAAGTAAAAACAGTAATAGTGTGAATTATTATTATTATTATAATGTTTTCTATTTTAATGTATTTTAAACGTAATTTTCAGTTGAAAACTAGGCCTTTTCACTTTTTTGTTTGTTCTTCACACAAAGCTGTTGCATGACTTGAAAAGACATGATGAAGATGAATTGTATGGACCACTTTTATGCTACATTTATGGTGCTATATCCCAACATGAGGATGAATCAGTGATGACAATGGTCATTTCTGGGTGAACTATCCCTTTAATGACAGTGAATTAAACCATAGATTTGCCTTCAAAGTGGGTTTACAGCTGGGTGAACTATTAAAGCTGGCTGAAAATGTATACAACTTTTCAGTCTAGGACCCTTTTTTTGGTTAGCATATGCATCAGAGTATGACTCTTAGGATTTATGTTTGGTGTCAGGTCTTTTTTCTTTTTCTTTTTTTAAAGAGGGCTTTTCACCCCCCTCCATCTTTTCATAAATCAATATTTACTATGTAACCTTCCTCTCTCTCTTCAGGGCCAGGAAGCAAATGTGCATCCTGATGGTGCTCTTCAAAAAGCTGTTTGCCCACTGATTTACTGTTGCCTGGTGTTTTTGTTTTGAGAGGCACATTTTGCCATTGGACCAAAGATCCTGTGCGGGTGCAGTCTAAAAAATATTGCCTTCATCTGTTTGTAGGGTAGCAAACCACATAGCAGGCAGCACAGTGGACAGATGATCTGAGCGAGTGTGAAAGAAAAGAATAAAGGGTGCGGTAGAGTTACAGAATTGTATTTTTCCTCTCTTATTCTGAGGAGAATGCAAGGCCCCTTTCTGGCTCTGTACAGGAGGGGGCCCCACACACTCAGGTTGGCGAACAGGTGGGGCCCACCGTGCAGTGCTAAGTGTATCTCTCCTGTGATTTTGAGGAAATTTAAGCAGAGTGTAAAGGTGTGTGTATGTGTGGTGCTCACCGCTGTGTTGTCCCTGTTTCTCGTGTCCACAGGCCCTCCAGGCAGCACGCCAGTTCATCCTCCAGCAGGCCACAGGACTCAACTCCCCCAGCAGCAACGAGATCAAACAGAGCCCTGTGCAGGTACGAGTGCCACACACTCAGATTTACAAACATATAGATACAGGCTCATACCATTAACAAACAGATGCAAGCATATTAATAAATAAATCATGTTTATGTCCTTTTCTTATTTACTTGTTTTGCTTTACCATTAGGGTTGGGCAGTATATATAAAATATAATGGTAACACTTTGGAATAGGGAACACTTATCTTAATAAACTTCTAATTTGCTGGTTATTAATAGTAAGGTAGTTGTTAAGTTTAGGTATAGGGTGGAGTAAGGGATCTAAAATATGGTCACGCAGAATAATGCACAAAATGATTATAAGCACTAATAAACTGCCAATATGCTATTAATATGAATGCTAATAATAGTGAGAATTGGTCCTTAAAATAAAGTGTTACCAATATAATGTATATATGATGATTTTGCTGGTGTTGAATCAAGCAACATCATGAAAATGATGCTTTTAATGCGTTTTATGTGAATTAAAAATTATTATAAAATTATTAGACTAATTTTACAGTACTTGACCTTATTTATTCTTTAAGAAAGGTTAATAGTTTTTCTGATATACACTTTTAAAAAGTTGATAAGTTTGATTCATTTTCTTGAATTATTTTAAACTGTTTCATTGAATCAATTCAAAACTCAGATTCACTTATTCATTTACATTGGCACACATACAAATTAAAATGAAAAGTGTAAATATTTTGTTAATTTATGGACATTGAATAGTGGAATATAATCTAATTATATAACCAAATAAATAAAAAATATTCAGCCCCCCCCCCATGTATCATCATATTTTACTTTCTCAGATCTTTGTCTATTAAAGTTCTCATTCTGCTTGTCTCCCATCCCCCCTATCTGTACTGTATTAAAGAGTTGAGTTGTGAATGTGGCTCTTTGTAATGAAGAGCTGAACAATGGCACATCTTGAACTTTATTTCTCATTGAGCAGAAGGTTAGCTTGAGTGCACGTTCCTGTAGCATCTGGTTTGGACCAAAGATCCTGTGCGGGTGCAGTCTAAAAAATATTGCCTTCATCTGTTTGTAGGGTAGCAAACCACATAGCAGGCAGCACAGTGGACAGATGATCTGAGCGAGTGTGAAAGAAAAGAATAAAGGGTGCGGTAGAGTTACAGAATTGTATTTTTCCTCTCTTATTCTGAGGAGAATGCAAGGCCCCTTTCTGGCTCTGTACAGGAGGGGGCCCCACACACTCAGGTTGGCGAACAGGTGGGGCCCACCGTGCAGTGCTAAGTGTATCTCTCCTGTGATTTTGAGGAAATTTAAGCAGAGTGTAAAGGTGTGTGTATGTGTGGTGCTCACCGCTGTGTTGTCCCTGTTTCTCGTGTCCACAGGCCCTCCAGGCAGCACGCCAGTTCATCCTCCAGCAGGCCACAGGACTCAACTCCCCCAGCAGCAACGAGATCAAACAGAGCCCTGTGCAGGTACGAGTGCCACACACTCAGATTTACAAACATATAGATACAGGCTCATACCATTAACAAACAGATGCAAGCATATTAATAAATAAATCATGTTTATGTCCTTTTCTTATTTACTTGTTTTGCTTTACCATTAGGGTTGGGCAGTATATATAAAATATAATGGTAACACTTTGGAATAGGGAACACTTATCTTAATAAACTTCTAATTTGCTGGTTATTAATAGTAAGGTAGTTGTTAAGTTTAGGTATAGGGTGGAGTAAGGGATCTAAAATATGGTCACGCAGAATAATGCACAAAATGATTATAAGCACTAATAAACTGCCAATATGCTATTAATATGAATGCTAATAATAGTGAGAATTGGTCCTTAAAATAAAGTGTTACCAATATAATGTATATATGATGATTTTGCTGGTGTTGAATCAAGCAACATCATGAAAATGATGCTTTTAATGCGTTTTATGTGAATTAAAAATTATTATAAAATTATTAGACTAATTTTACAGTACTTGACCTTATTTATTCTTTAAGAAAGGTTAATAGTTTTTCTGATATACACTTTTAAAAAGTTGATAAGTTTGATTCATTTTCTTGAATTATTTTAAACTGTTTCATTGAATCAATTCAAAACTCAGATTCACTTATTCATTTACATTGGCACACATACAAATTAAAATGAAAAGTGTAAATATTTTGTTAATTTATGGACATTGAATAGTGGAATATAATCTAATTATATAACCAAATAAATAAAAAATATTCAGCCCCCCCCCCATGTATCATCATATTTTACTTTCTCAGATCTTTGTCTATTAAAGTTCTCATTCTGCTTGTCTCCCATCCCCCCTATCTGTACTGTATTAAAGAGTTGAGTTGTGAATGTGGCTCTTTGTAATGAAGAGCTGAACAATGGCACATCTTGAACTTTATTTCTCATTGAGCAGAAGGTTAGCTTGAGTGCACGTTCCTGTAGCATCTGGTCACACACACACACACACACACACACACACACACAGATATATACAGACACACAGGAATCTTAAGAATAGTGTAGTGTGGAGAGCTCAGATCCATATTTGTCACTTTCAATACAATATCAGGCAAACCTACATGCATGACAATGTACGGTGTATTACTAAAGTATATACAGTGGGTACGGAAAGTATTCAGACCCCCTTAAATTTTTCACTCTTTGTTATATTGCAGCCATTTGCTAAAATCATTTAAGTTCATTTTTTTCCCTCATTAATGTACACACAGCACCCCATATTGACAGAAAAACACAGAATTGTTGACATTTTTGCAGATTTATTAAAAAAGAAAAACTGAAATATCACATGGTCCTAAGTATTCAGACCCTTTGCTCAGTATTTAGTAGAAGCACCCTTTTGATCTAATACAGCCATGAGTCTTTTTGGGAAAGATGCAACAAGTTTTTCACACCTGGATTTGGGGATCCTCTGCCATTCCTCCTTGCAGATCCTCTCCAGTTCTGTCAGGTTGGATGGTAAACGTTGGTGGACAGCCATTTTTAGGTCTCTCCAGAGATGCTCAATTGGGTTTAAGTCAGGGCTCTGGCTGGGCCATTCAAGAACAGTCACAGAGTTGTTGTGAAGCCACGCCTTCGTTATTTTAGCTGTGTGCTTAGGGTCATTGTCTTGTTGGAAGATAAACCTTCGGCCCAGTCTGAGGTCCTGAGCACTCTGAAGAAGGTTTTCGTCCAGGATATCCCTGTACTTGGCCGCATTCATCTTTCCCTCAATTCCAACCAGTCGTCCTGTCCCTGCAGCTAAAAAACACCCCCACAGCATGATGCTGCCACCACCATGCTTCACTGTTGGGACTGTATTGGACAGGTGATGAGCAGTGCCTGGTTTTCTCCACACATACCGCTTAGAATTAAGGCCAAAAAGTTATATCTTGGTCTCATCAGACCAGAGAATCTTATTCAGGTGTTTTTTAGCAAACTCCATGCAGGCTTTCATGTGTCTTGCACTGAGGAGAGGCTTCCGTCGGGCCACTCTGCCATAAAGCCCCGACTGGTGGAGGGCTGCAGTGATGGTTGACTTTCTACAACTTTCTCCCATCTCCCAACTGCATCTCTGGAGCTCAGCCACAGTGATCTTTGGGTTCTTCTTTACCTCTCTCACCAAGGCTCTTCCCCCCCGATAGCTCAGTTTGGCCGGACGGCCAGCTCTAGGAAGGGTTCTGGTCATCCCAAACGTCTTCCATTTAAGGAATGGAGGCCACTGTGCTCTTGGGAACCTTAAGTACAGCAGAAATTTTTTTTGTAACCTTGGCCAGATCTGTGCCTTGCCACAATTCTGTCTCTGAGCTCTTCAGGCAGTTCCTTTGACCTCATGATTCTAATTTGCTCTGACATGCACTGTGAGCTGTAAGGTCTTATATAGACAGGTGTGAGGCTTTCCTAATCAAGTCCAATCAGTATAATCAAACACAGCTGGACTCAAATGAAGGTGTAGAACCATCTCAAGGATGATCAGAAGAAATGGACAGCACCTGAGTTAAATATATGAGTGTCACAGCAAAGGGTCTGAATACTTAGGACCATGTGATATTTCAGTTTTTCTTTTTTAATAAATCTGCAAAAATGTCAACAATTCTGTGTTTTTCTGTCAATATGGGGTGCTGTGTGTACATTAATGAGGAAAAAATTTACTTAAATGATTTTAGCAAATGGCTGCAATATAACAAATAGTGAAAAATTTAAGGGGGTCTGAATACTTTCCGTACCCACTGTATATGCTCCAGTGTGCATGCTTTAACTTGGTGTTTCTTGCTGTCTGTAAGATATGCAGTCTTCAAGCCTGCCACGTTGAATTGGGCCAGTGGTGGTAACTGCCTGCTTTAGCACACTCGTCAAATGTGACAAGACACACTCACATGTTTATAGCAGAGTAAAACTGTGCTATCACAGTCATGAAACATGCTTCTTCCTGTAAACACAGTTGTAAGACTAACACAGACTGGCATATAGCTACAGATTAGGGTGCGCTATTATTTAGCCTGATAGAGATGGAGGAGAGAGGAAGACAAACAAGGCAACCCCTAATAAGGAACAGGAAAAGGGGTGGATGCAGTCAATACAAGCTCAGAGGTGAAAAGTAGAGAGTGCAAGTGAATGAACGAGAAACAGGGGTGTGTGAGAGCTGCCCAGAGTTTTCAAATCATCAATAATCCAGGAAGAATGCTAGCTGACAGTTTAAATGACCGTGTTGAGAGGTTTTCCCTTCAGGGTAATTAACATTATCAAGGAACAGCAGGTTACCTCGTTAGTGGCGCACTCATTTAATTAACAAACCACACTAATTAAATTGAACCCTGGGCTGAAGTTTGCTTCGGTGTGCTCGTTGAGCTAAAGAACAGTCAAGAAGAGGAAAATCAAGGGAACATTTTTATCAGAGTCCCTTTTTTCCACTAGTTGCTTTTTTGTCGATGGACCTTTTGATGATTGATGTGGCTTATTGAACAGGTTTCGCTTCTTTTCTGTTTAAATTGTGGTGTTTGATAAAGCAAGCATCACTTTTACCATTGCTTATACTTAGGGGATAGCTCACTTAAAAAGATAATTTACATAAAAATGTACTTACTGTCCTCTGTGGAACCAAAAGAAGATGAAAAA